AAATGGCCTCAAGTTGCGCCAAGGGAAGTTTTGGTTAGATATTAGGAAGAATTTCTGTACTGCAAGGGTTATTTGCCTTAGGAACAAGGTTGCCCAGGGCAGCGGTGGAGTCCCCATCCCCGGAGGTATTTAAGTCAGTTGAATAGTAGGCATAGGGCATGGCTTAGTCAAGGACTTGTCATGGTTAAGTTAACAGTTGGACCCAGTGTTCTTAAAGGGCTTTTCCAATCTAGATTATTCTGTGATTCAGTTTAAATTCAAATAAAAGCAGCTACAATCAGGAGTCATAAAGACCCTGTGCAGAGAACAAGATTTCTGTCAAAGGTCTTGGCTGTTCCTTGGGCTAAGGGGCTGTGAGTGCCTCAAGTTTTTTTTTCCTGAGCCTCACGCAGGGGAAAATTTTAGTGGCTTGGTTTTGTGTGTTGCAGTGGTGGCTGAGAACTCATGTAGGTAATGGAGGCGTTGGCATAACTATCTGAGATTCTGTAGCTGCTTTTTCTGAACTGTGCAACTTGAATTTCAGACATTATTTTTCTGCTTAGTAGAGAGATAAAAATGTTTATGGTTCTGGATCCTGTCTGTTACATACCTCTTCTGATACGACAACAGAGCTTGAGGATTTTTTTAATTACCTCTGGGTTAATATGGTGTGTAGCTGCTGTCTGACTGTAATGGATCAGATCAAATTGTTCTATCCCTGAGTGTTCCTGCAAGGCATTTGCGACCAGCACCAAACATGGTTCTGCGTGAGTTGGTTTATGGCAGTAAAATGCCTGCTTGGGCTGAGAAAAGGATAGGGGGGTCTGCAGATGGGACGAAAATGCTTCAGAGAGCAACTGGGATCCCTCGATTGGCAGAGAACACATTTTTCTCTGAAACAAAAGGCATCCATTACACTGAATGGAAACTTACACTATTTCAAATAAAATAACATGGTCTGTATTTTTTGGGTTCAGAGCTGGGGTGCTGCTGTGGTATGAGTAATCTCTGATAACCGTGTTAGAGACTTTTATTTTTTTTGCTCCTTCTAGTACAAAACATGCTGTTTGCTAATGCTGGTGTTTAATAAACTTAATTCCATATGAGAACTCTATCTCTTACACTGTCTTACGTGGTTGCTGTCAGGATGTTGGCTTTTTCGTGGTTTCTTTTTATTAATACGCTCTTTTTCCCCCAGCTTTCTAGTAATGGCAACCTACACTTGTATCACTTGCCGAGTGGCTTTCAAGGATGCCGACATTCAGCGTGCCCATTACAAAACTGACTGGCATAGATACAACCTGAAGCGTAAAGTTGCTGACATGCCTCCTGTCACTGCTGAGAATTTCCAAGAGAGAGTCCTAGCGCAGAGAGCCGTGGCAGAGGAGCAGAACAAAATCACTGCCACTTACTGCACAGTTTGCAGCAAGAGATTCTCCACCTTCAACGCCTACGAGAATCACTTGAAGTCCAAGAAGCACCTGGAATTGGAGAAGAAAGCTGTTCAAGCTGTCAGCAAGAAGGTGAAAATATTAAATGAGAAGAACCTGGAAAAGGGGCTGGCCCCAGAGAGCGTAAACAAAGATGAAATGAACGCAGCTATTCAGCAAGCCATCAGAGCTCAGCCATCTTCATCTCCAAAGAAGACACCTTTACCTCCTAGTAACGTGAGCGGCTCTCCTGTTTCTACAAGAAGTGTCAGCTTATCACAGAGTAGAGAGCGATCGGAAAAACCTCCACGGCTACAGTGGTTTGAACAGCAAGCAAAGAAGCTGGCCAAACAGCAGGCAGAAGAGGAAGGTGATATGGAAGATGGTAAGGCAGTGAACATACTGATGAGAGAAAGCTTGGGATTAGCTTTGTGTAAAAAGCCTCATTCTATTCTGTGTAGCATTTTCCATTGCAAAAGGCCTTCCTGTTGATTAAATTTTCAGTTTAACAAAGGAGTTAAGGTTGGCACATGCTTGCAGTCCAGGACTCTGTGTTAGTGTCTGAGCTGCCGGCTGCACAAGGTACTAATACATGGAAACTTTCAATATAAAAGGTTACTCATATGGGCGTTATATCCCACACAAAAATCCAGAGGAAGTTTGCTTTAAGGAGGGCTGACAAGAAAGGTTGCCCTAAAACTACTTCTGAAAAAACAGATGAACAAAAATCCAATCATGATATGTTGAGGGGAGGGTGAGAGTGGAATTGGGTTTGTTTTTTCTCTGGCTAGCAAGACCCAAGGAGAAAGTTTGCTCCTTAGCCTGACTCTGTGTAGCACAGCTTCCCAGCATGTTGGCATCTGTATTAAAATTGGTTTAAGAGAGTTGCCGCCCCTCCTGCCTCACCCTCGCCACTTGTATGGATGTAGCTTGTTATTGGAGGTCAGCCTGGAAAGTGGACAGCTGGAAAAATCAGTGCTTTAGAATTCTCAAAAAACGGTTATTTTTAACCTGGATGCTTTCAGTGCTGTAGCTTACGGTGCAGCAACAAATGCAGCCATTGGGGCAGTTGAATGGGATGATTCAACTGCAGCAAGGGGACAGGTGTGAATGATGTGGGGCCTTACTATGCCAACATCATTACTGAACACGTTGCATCATGTTGTTACATCTGTTACAGAAGTTTTATGCTGGTGAAATCTCAGTTGCAATTTGGGGATTCTGTTCTGCAGGAGAAGGGGATACCTCTGAACATGGATCTTAACATCCAAAGAAGGAACCTGTTTTGTATTAATGTGTTGGTCATAAATTGTAATGCTAAAATCTAAGTAGGTTTCTGAATGTTAATTTTCCTTTTAAGTGTTTGTCCAGGAATGTTTTTTCCAAGCCCTGTTAATTCAGTATCAGGCTTTTAAAATTATTAAACTACATCCAGAGATGAGACTGAGAAAACTGGGGCTGTTTAGCCTTGAAAGGAAATGACTGAGAGAGGACCTTGTTAAAGTATACAAATATCTGAGGGGTGGGTGTCAAGGGGAAGGAGACAGTATCTTCTCAGTGGTGCCCAGTAATAGAACAAGGAATAATGGGTTTAAGTTAGAACACAGGAAGCTCTACCTCAACATGAGGAGAAATTTCTTTCCTGTGAGGGTGACAGAGCACTGGCACAGGCTGCCCAGAGAGGTTTTGGAGTCTCCTCCTCTGGAGACTTTCAAACCTCACCTGGACGCGTTCCTGTGTGGCTGCCCTAGGGGATCCTGCTCTGGCAGTGGGGTTGGACTAGATGATCTCTAGAGGTCCCTTCCAACCCCGAACATTCTGTGATTCTATGATCCTGTAGCAGAGATCTCTAATTAGCAGCCTGCAATACTGGGGAGCACTATGTTCCCCATTCTCAAATGCTGTGCATGTGACAGCTGGAACGGGAGCAGCTGGAGTAGAGTACTGGGAAATTCTCACTGCCCCAGATTGGAACTGATTAAAAAAAGATTTCTAGAGCCCTCTAGCAGTATAATCAGATTGCTGAGTTGTCTATCCATTAACAAGCTCTGTAGTAATCTTGCAAATGTGTCAAATGGTTATTATATCTTGCTATGTGCTGTCCTGTAACGTAACAGTGTATTTGTGACAGCTGGCTTTGTTCCTTTCTGTTGTTAAGGATGTGCATGTGCAAACAGGCGTGTGTTTTCCCTCGCTGCTGAGTCACTGCTAGAAATGAGAATTTTCCTGATTCGGACAGTTGTATTGCTTTTAACGAGCCACACATATGTTCTGGTGCTGTGGTGAATTAAATTTAGGGCTTCAAAACAGCAATAAAGTGTTCAGCTGAGAAAATGGAGGGGGAAAATAGCAGATCTGCCAACTTTTTTATGAGCGTACTTGAACTTTACTGTGCATCTTACAAAGAAATGTGTTTTCCTTGCAATGGTATATTCTTGCACCTGGAACTGACTGTATGACACTTAGCTGTAAGAATATAAAATGCAGTATTTTCTGTGATAACTTTTTCTTCTTAATTAGGACTTAATTTGCTTGTGAAAAGTAATCATAATAACAAGGGTTTTTTTAAAACTTCCTTTAAAAGACTGGGAAAGTATGGATTCTGATGAAGACATCGGCTCTGAGGACGAGATGGAAAGTGTGGAAGAAGAAGAGGAGGAGCAGGCAGAAGCCGAAAGTGCACCTGCTGTTGGGGCCATACCAGTCACAGACTGCTTGTTCTGTCCCCACCATTCAAGATCTCTGACAAAAAACGTGGCTCATATGACAAAAGCTCACAGTTTCTTCATTCCAGACATAGAGTACCTTGTGGATCTCAGAGGACTAATCAAGTACCTGGGTATGCCTGTAAAACTGGATTTCAATCCAGATAGTTATACACTGTTAGTGCTTTTTTTTTTTGCTTGCATATGACTTAAAATGTTTTGGGGTTGAGGGTTTTTTTGTGTAAAATCTGAGTACCGCTTAGTTCCGTGTTTTGATCATGAAGAGGACCACAGGCTTTCCAAAGGGAAAGTGGGAGAAAACCCCGCTGGGTGGATGTGGTCATGTTACCCTGCAGGTCTCGCGTAGTTTTCTAATGTTGAGAAAGTTGTTCAGCTAATGTGAAATTTAGGGCAAAACTCTACTGCTAAAAGGTGCATATGAACTGTGTACCCTACTAATGATTCACAAGTCTTTGCCTCATCAGTTTACAATACTTGAGAGAACTAAAGACTGAGAAAAATGTATCTTGAAGTCTACAAATAATGGTAAGAATAATTTTGGAGTATCAGAGAGCTTTTGGAAGTATGAAATTTCTTACCTAGGATGCGTAATGATCCTTACTTTGTCATATGTAATCTTTAAATGCACAGGCTTGCACCTGAAGGAGCCGCATAGTCAAGGCATAGGAGCAGCAGGGCTTTTCTAGAAATGAAGGGCTCAAGGCTCTTCCTTGCTCTCTCTGCCTGCAAGCTGGGAAGGCTGCATCATAGAAATGTTAATTATTGACTAGCGAGGCTCTGTTCAGACCAACAGAATTGTCAATGTTTTCTGCAGGAGAGAAAGTTGGAGTTGGGAAAATCTGCATCTGGTGCAATGAAAAAGGGAAATCCTTCTACTCTACAGAAGCAGTACAGGCTCACATGAACGATAAAAGCCACTGCAAACTCTTCACGGATGGAGACGCTGCCCTGGAATTTGCAGACTTCTATGATTTCAGGTGAGGCTGCTTTTCTTTGAGTGGAACACAGAGGGGGACAGACAAAAGGACAGTTTAATATTACATCAAAAGCTATTCTTAACGTTTAGGCCTGGTTCTGATGCTTATTTTGCCTAGCTGATTCACTACTTTTCTAGGTAAGTATAACAATATCATTGGTTCTCCCTCCTGTGACCATTAATATTGGTCCTGCAAGAAAACATATTTTGAATTCTATTTTGTGTGTTTGCCGTTACTGAGTTTGGATTTCAGTGCACTAGCAACGACCATAAAAAGGCGTTACCTGTATCTTCTCTTGCCTTTTAAGCAGATTGTGGAATCAATACTTACTGTGGATATTTTTTAGTTTCTTTTAAGTTAAACAGGACTGCAGTGATTTAGAGGCCTCTCGTACTTTGTGTAACCTCTCCTAAGCTGTGTTCATTTTGGTCAGATATACCTCCTGTTATGGTGACAGGTGGACTTAGTTAAGCTGCTTCTTGAAGTGCTTGCTGGGTCGCTGTCCAGAGCTGGCAAGCTGCGTAGTGGTGGCTTTTCACCCTGAGTCGCTGCTAAGTGTGCAGCAGCAGAACTGTGCCGGGTTACAGATCTGGGTGGAGGAAGGCTGGTCCTTGTCTTCAGTCGCTGTTCAGGGCAGGGTGTTGCTGGGGTGAACTCAAAGCCCGAAGCCAGGTGAAGTGTGACAGTGTTGTGGCTCGCTGTAGCTGTGCATGGCAGCTCTTCTGTGCCGTGGGTCTGGATCGCCGTGGCTGCTCCCCGTCCGTAATCCATATGCTGCTTCCCTTCCACAGGAGCAGTTACCCTGATCACAAGGATGGGGAAGATGTGGCCGTGCCTGGAGAGCGCCCAGCCGAGAGAGATTTGGATTACGATGATGACACCATGGAGCTCATCCTTCCTTCAGGTAGGCATAAGATTTGTGCTACAGCGTGCTTTCTTTGCATTTCTCATAGCTGCAGCCATTGCCTGCGGCACAGGTCATCATGGTAAGTATTTTCCTTTGCAAGGGGGAAAGTAATTTTGCATCTAAGTGTTTTTGCGCTTTTGTCCTCACCTTCTGTTATTTTCACAACCAAGTAGTTTGTTGCCTTCAGCACTAACGTGTATGTGGAATGGGGCAGGGTGTTCCTTTGCCTGCTTTACCTCTTCATTAACAGGACTCACATGGTATGCTCCAAGTGTTTCCGTAGTTTGTTTTAGTGCAACTTGGAGAGGTTATAGCTTAGGTTATCTTGTGGAGTACTTCTGTGGAGAAGCAGCCAGTAACTAATTTAGTAAACTAGTTCGGTAAAACTAATTTATTTAACCTTACTCATGCTTGCATTATTAGTGGTTTTTTTGTATGACCTCAGCCCTTTGATCCTGAAAAGTGCTGCCAACTGTGCAGTTACAGAATATTTTCTGCAATTTGGCAAGTTACTTCTCTGTTTACTTGAAACAGCATTGCTTCTCTGCTCATTCCCCTATTTAAACTTCTCTGATAACTGCCTGTTTCTTATCTGAGTCAACACCCTCTTGAACAACAGCACCTTTTTATGGTGGTTTTTTTCTTCAAGGTAGAGTGCAGTACAACAGCTCTTACAGGAATTACACTGGGTTTGTAATAATCTTGAATTTTTCAAGGTTCCGGGCCCTTTAAAAGCGTGTCTCAGAGTGATCTTCCAGTTTTCACAATATACTTGACTGCTGCTTTTCAGAAGCTGCTTCATTATTTATAAAAGATGTTGCCTCCTTTGAACAGGTGCCAGAGTGGGTCATCGCTCTTTAATGAGATACTACAAGCAGCGGTTTGGTCTGTCAAGAACAGTGGCGGTTGTGAAAAATAAGAAAGCAGTGAGTCGTGTGTTGCAGCAGTACAGAGCTTTGGGCTGGACAGGTCAGACAGGTAAGTGATAACGTGAGGCTTCTTCAGAGGAGTTTCTAGAATGTCATCACTCTACAGTTAAAGCGGTCAATTTTGTGGGGTTTTGTGCTGTAGCTTGTCTTCCAGTCAGTTCTTTCTATTTCCTGACATCCAAGCAGAATAAGTTCTAGGGTTTGTGTCTAAAATCCATTGCAGCTTCTGTGCGAGCCCTTCAGTTCATTACCATGCATGTTTGTGGTATTTGATGGCAGTTCCTGGGATTTGTTGGTTTCTAGGGTAATAATCCCTTCTCCACCTGTCAAAACTACTACTCTTGCTATTTAATCTTGTAATGTAAATCACATTTCGACAGTTGGAATACTTTTTCAGTAGCAGGGAGCAGTGATGTGATCCGTGTCCACTTTTGAAATAAAAAAAATCGCATACTGGAATGCAAAACAACCTCTTTCCTTAATCAGAGTCCTAGGTGTTTGTAGGGGAACTGGCCTTTCCCAAGAGAACAGGGAAGTGTGGCAGATGGGAAGGAAAACAGGGGACTAGCTACTGATCGAAATGAACAGATTAACTGGTTTGCATAGAATTAGTAAGTAAGCTTACAGACATTTATTCTTCTTTCTCTTCCTCCTCTCTCCCTGAAGGAGCGGTCTATGCTCAGCAGCGCGATATGCAGTACCTGCAGAGGATGAAGTCAAAGTGGATGCTCAAGACAGGAATGAGTAACAATGCTACAAAGCAAATGCATTTCAGGGTGCAAGTCAGATTCTGAGTTCCCAGGAGAGCTGCATGCAACTGGTTTGGGGAAGGGGAATTTGATGGTTACTGGATCGAGGATTCTGGTTTTGAAATGGACTTGGTACCCATGAAATGTGTATGCTGCTGTGCCTTCCCATCTGTGAGAAGTGGAACAGGGAGCTTGTCTGTTCCAGTGAAACGATGGTTGGCCTAACTGAAAAAATAAAGTATCTTAAATGGAATATGTGGCAAAATAATCATGGCTATGAATAAAGATGCGTGCACAGTTGTGCTGTCCATCCTTGTGCAGCCCATCTCTGTGAGGCAGTTGGCTTTGTCATTTGTCTGAATATCTTCAGTTTCCAATTCTGCAAGATGGTTGAGGCCAGGAGAAGATCCTAGATCTAAGAGCCTGAAATGGAGTGTTTTGAAGGTTTTTCACTTGTAGTGTCAGGCATGAATTAGCTGGGTGTTTTGGACTTCTAGCTGGTGCTGTTGAGGTGAACATTTGAGAGCAGAGATTCTGTGAAGGTTGAGTGATAATTACTTGAAGAAATGCACTGATGGAAAACATAACTCTAGGATTAATACTATCCTCAGAATTTGACTGTACTTGCTTAATGCTCCAGCTAAGGGCTGCATTAATAATTTACAGTGCAGTTGTTTTATGTTGAATTTACTGAATTGTCATTACCTAAAAACTGCTCAAAATTACTATAGTGTTTAGAAGAATGTCAGTCAAAATTTCTGATGATCTGTTAAAGGTTTTCTGATTAAAACTCTGAATTTACTATTCATGACAGCCTTTGTTATTCCCATTGAGTACTGGTGTTTTGCATGACCTTGCTGAAAAAAATGACCCAAGACATGCATTGGCTAGAACGGAGAGATGCTTTTCCGCTGTGGCAGGTGAACTCTTACAGGCAGGTGTGGAGAAAACATGCTTGTTAAAGAGCTGAGCCAGCAGCGCTGGTGTTGTAGGTGTTCATAAGCTTCCATGACCCTACCAGTTCTTCCGACCTTCATGTAAGGAGGTGGGCTCCTGCACACAAGCTCATGCAGCCCCGAGTTGTGGTGTGCTGGACGTTGGGTGTGTGCCACAGGGAAGCTGCTGTGTGTTTGCTTGCCCGTTGTGAAGGCAGCTGCAACTGGTTACAGTGAAATTGCACTTCTGCATTTTAAGATTACTCGAACTCTCATAGTGGCTTTCATTGGCATAGTTTTAATTTAAGTTCTCTTCCTGTCCTGTGAATGTTGTGCCACTGGGGATAGTAGGAGGATAATTTGCCTCTCTGTGTTTTGACCTCCTAAAGTAATCCACTGACATCTCCCTAAGAAGTAAGTTCAGAAAATAGTATTACTGTTGGCATATCAGCGCTTCCGAAGGAATGGTACATTTACAGGATCCTTAGGAAAAGCGATCATTTCACAACAGACATGCATGCTGTATATTCTTGTGTGGATTTGTCTGTGGTGTTTTGTTCTTCTAGTTTGTTTTCCATTTGGGGTTTTTTTAACCTTTTTTAGTAAGTTCTCCTGCCTTGGAAGTTTTTTTCTGTTCCTGCTCTTTCTGAAAAGACAGAACTTGATTAGTTATGCAGGCTGTAGGTTTGACACAGCATTCTAAATCAGGTGACTACTACCTTAAAAAGGTACGGACTGAGTGAAGGGAAAACTGATGCAGGGAGAATTTCGAAGAAAGGTTGTGTTCACGTCTTCAATTCAAGTTGTATTGAGAACAAAGTACTTCCTTTTTCATGGCAAGGCCAAGTTACTGCCATTGTATACCTTTAGCAGCATCTAGCTCACATCTGAATTTATTCTAGGAGGTTTGCTCTGGGTTATTGGGCTTTACTCTCAAAGTTAGGAGATCTAGTCTTAGCTATGTGACTCAAGCTATGTGAATTTTAAGACATATCTCTTATTACACTCATAACCTAGCCCAACCTGCAATTATTGTATCGATTTCTAGCACTGAGGATATATCCTACTTGTATTTGTCAAGCTTCTACATCTGCTTGTATCTTTATCTTTGAAGACAGAAATGACTACAAAAGGGCCTTATGCTCATACACAGACTGTCTTTACGCATAGAGCAAAATGAAATGCCACAAAAATGTAGAAATGGAAGGGTTAGACTTCTTAATGAGAGTCTTAACTGGAAGCCTGTGGAGCTGGTTTTGAATACCAGTATTGGTGGCGAGCATCAGAGCAGTACGGTCTGTAGTTTTTGGAAAACACTCATCTGAAACTTATATGAAGGAGAGAGCAGTTAACCTGGAAAAGTCTTGACCATAACCTAGTACAGTTGCTGAAGTCTTAGAGGTAGGCATTAAGAGTCTTGCCAGTGAAGGCAGAAGTACAAGGAGATACCTGAACCAGTGAAAAATTACTTTGGGTCCTTAATGTTCAGGATGAAGGCATGTGGAGTTTGCTGCTCTCTTCAACAGGAAAGGGCAATCAAAAGAAACTACTGTTCTCTGTGCAGGGTTAATCAAAGAAACTGGCTGCTTATGAAAAGATGATGTTTGCCTGAATTTCCTGAACAGTCCAGTTCAGAAAGAAATGGAAGTAAGAGAAATGAAAACTGGTAGTCATTTGTGAAGTGACAGGGAAGCTCTCGTTCTCTCTGTACCTCTTATTGCAGTTCAGTCAGAAGGAAATGGAGGAGAGGTATGGAGACCTCTTGGTATTTTAAAGGGAGAGTTTTAAGTCTAAGCTGAAAATGAGTGCCTTGGAAAGCCAGCAGAGGGCATACAAAAGCTTTTTTCCATAATTCTGTTTAGTATGAAAATAATTAAAGTCTAGTAAGAGTACGTTAATGCGGAATACCAGTAGGGTGAGAGGACAAAGGTCACCCTAAGCATGAGTTAACATGAGCACTAAACTTCTGTGACATGAATTGCTTTTAACATCTTGATGCCCAGGGAGAGAGCTTTGCTGGCAGAGGGGTGACTGGGACAAGTTTGCTGATTATCTGCAGTATCCAGCAACAGTGCTGCAGTCTGCACAGCTTGTAGGTGACTCCAGCAGTGACAGAGCATCTGAGAGTATTTTTCTTTAACATGTTTTACAGTGTTACAGCTTAGTCTTTTACATCCCCGTCCTAAATCCTAAAGATTGTATGAAGGATAGCTGAGGGCAGCTTTTTGTTTCCTAACGGAATTCCAAATGATGATGGTTCCCATCAAGGAGCTGTGTTTCCAGCTGTGACCTAGGCTTGAATTTGTGCTCCCCTGCTTTGACCTTGCAGTCAGAATGAGAAGAAAGTAAAGTCTGGAGGCAACCAGTTAGATTTGAGACAGTCTCTGGATATGGTGGCTACTCTGGGGCAAGACTTACCTGCTAATGTAATTCAGTGGGTGTGCTGTTCCCAGAGGAGGAGGTGATCCCTTCTCACATTGAATCATCATCATAGAATGGCCTAGGCTGGAAGGGACCTTAGAAATCATTTTAATCCAGCCTCTCTGTCGCCAGGGACACCACCTCTCAACTAGATCAGGCAACACATGGGGACCGAACAGGAATCGAACCCCCGACCTTGGCATTGTTACTGCCACGCTCAACTGACTGAGGCTAACCAGCCCCCTAAACATTGGTGCATCCACAGTAGGAGAGGCTGGGAAGAAGCATGGAAAAGATATCCTGTTTTGGACAAGGTTGGGATTCTGCTTGTCTGTCTATCCAGTAATAGCTAAGTGTTGAAGGTCTTGATGCTGCATCAGACATGGCAGAATGAATCAGCAGAATGGGAGAATTGGTGAAGATGATAAAGGGTACGTCTGCCGTCTCTTTTTGGAAGTAGTTCTCTTCTGTACGCTTCAGTTATCTAAAAGCAACTCAATTGGTACTACAGGGAAAAGCATGGGGGAAGGGAAGGGCTAGTAAAGAGAAAAGCATGTAGGATGTAGAGTGACAGAGACACAGGAGAGTCAGATATGTATAACATCCTAACAGCTTATTGTGCTGAAGCTGCAAGTCAACAAATAAAGATCTTTTTAAAGTGAGCACTCTCTTTAAGAGAGCATTATTGATCCCCGATTGGTTACCACAAGGTAGAGAGCCTGAAATGTAAAGCAATCAGACCATTGCCCAGCTCACATCAGATGCTTGAGAGGCATCTGTGTGAGATTCTTTCCTACAACTTTTAAGAGTTATTTTTCATCTATTAAACCTTAGGCATCCTGTGCTAATAGGCTTCATCTGCTCAGGGTTTGGGTCATTTTCCTCCACACTATCTGCATAAAGCTGCAGACACCCAAGTGGGTTTATACTATTATGAGCTGTAACAGATGAGAGGTTAGATATAAGATATAGGGCACATCTGACTGAAAATTAAAAATACACCTTAAAAAAAAAAAATCTTAAAAACTCTGAATCTTAGTGGTTAATTGCTTCAGTCCTACTGACCACCATACTGCAGCTGGAGAATAAGCCACCAGACTGTCATCAAATCCTGAATCCTCAGCAGTTGGCAGAGCCTGCATAGTCAACGTGACTGGCTGATGGCACTTCATGTGTCAGAGCAAGCCAAAACACGTCTTTTCAGGTTTCTGACCCAGAAGAAATTTCTGTTGTCTTTCCCACTACATCCCAAACTACTCTGTGTAAGATGCAGGGGCCAGGCACTCCAGGAGCAGCAGCAGAAACAGGAAACCTGTAGCCAGTTTTTTGTCAAGGATTTCTGCTCATGGGTAGGGTACCAGACTAAAAGCAGATTAATAAACGCTAGTTGAGCCAGGAAGGGAGTCAGAATCACTCTCCTCTAAAAGTAGTCAGCACTTCCCGGTGTAAGGTTATGTGACTTCCCAAAAGGAAAAAGGGATGTTAAACAGGTTTTTAAATAATGACATTACCAAACATTTACATCTTTGTATCATAGAATCATAGAATGGCCTAGG